CCTTAGGTGTATGTGGCTGGTGCCTTAGCCACTTGAGCCATAGGTGCTGAGCCCCTGAAAAGTATCTTAAGGGGAGACCTGACCTGTCAGAGCCCAAGAGGAGAGCAAGTAGAGGCCAGGCCTTGGAAGTCATGTGAACCTCAGGCAATGCAAGGCAGCTTGGGGTGCCCAGCAGTGGAAAGGCAACCCTGGCTGGGGGTGGCTATGGGATTTATTCTTTAATAAAGAATTGGCTGCTTTCTCCTCTCCCTTTTCCTGCTCATCCTTGTCCTTCTGCTACTGGGAAGGGCCTGAAATTTCTGCCTGTTGTAGGGAACCCAGATTGTAAATAACTGTTCTGTGGAATACGGGGGTGGAGAAGACTAGGTGGGAAGGCAGGAGCAGGAGTTAGCTTAAGTTTCTGGTTGGGTGCAATGACCCACACCTTGTGGGAGTCACCCAAGGTGGGAGAATCACCCAAGATCAGGGAGCAGCCTGAGCAAAAGCCCCTGTCTCTTGAAAAAAATTAAGAAATTAGGGGTGGCGCCTGTGGCTCAGAGGAGTAGGGTGTCGGCCTCATATGCTGGAGGTGGCGGGTTCAAACTCAGACCTAGCCAAAAAAAAAAAAAAATTAGCTGGATGTGGTAGTGAGAGATTTTAGTCCTAGCTACTCAGGAAGCTGAGGCAGGAGTATTGCTTGAACTCAGGACTTAAAGACTGCAGTGAGCTATGATGGCACCACTGTACTCCAGCCTGGGCAACAGAATGAGAAGCTGTCTCAAAAAAAAAGAAAAGAAAATAACAAGTCTAGGTTTCCAGAAGTTGGGGAACAGGCCACCAGAGTCTCATGGACCTGAGGATTAGAAGGGCTGGAATAGTCAGCGGCACCCCAGACCCATAATCACAGTTCCAGGAAAGGGCTGGACAGGGCACGTGCTGACCTGTGGTTGACTCATTGCCCAGATGTGCCCACGTCATACCCTGATGTGGCACAACATGGAACATGAAGTTACTTAATATGAGCCTCACGGGCTTAGCGCCTGTGGCTCAAGTGGCTAAGGCGCCTGCCACATACACCTAAGGTGGTGGGTTCGAATCCAGCCC